ACATAACAAGCACAAATCAAGGCACCCATTTGCACTCTTCTTCTTGTAAAAAAATTTCTATGTCTATTGACGTTCAAGTAACAATATAACAAAAAATTATTGCTCTATTGTTATAAGTTTTCAACGCATAACAAGCACAAATCAAGGCACCCATTTGCACTCGTGCAATCACATCCCGTATCACTTTTTGTTTTTTTCAGAGAATGCGAGCCAGATGGGCAATATACGTGATTCGAGCTTGTGAATATTTTTATTTTCAAGATCTCTACATCTCGTCCCAAATTTATGATGTATTTTATAATCATAATGTTTATTTTAAAATCAATCATACATAGTTAACCAATTAAATAGTAAATTGCACTAAGTTTAAAGAGAAATTTTCTTACATATTACATAGTTCTTATGCATTTGCCTTTCTAACACCTAAATTTTAATATTTACATCCTTAACATCTTGGTATTAGAAACTTATGCATGAAACAGGAGTACAACTTACGTACCTTCAAAATATTAAAAATATTTTTCTTAATTAATTTTGTTATGAAAGCATTTTCATAATCTTCTTTTTCAAAAAAGGGCAGTAAATAATAGGGATAAAAAAAAAAAATATTTCTTTTAATAAATAGTACAAATTGGCGTGAATGGTTTATATAAATTAACCCCCCTTAACTTGAAAGGGTCTATATGTAAATACATAAAAATTGTGTGGTATGGTTTTTTATGAAGGCATTTTCATAATCTTCTTTTTCAAAAAAAGGGCAATAAATAATAGGGATCAAATTTTTTATTATTTCTTTCAATAAATAGTACAAATTAGATGAGAATGGTTTATATAAATTAATCCCCCTTAACTTGAAAAGGTCTATATGTAAATACATAAAAATTGTGTGGTATGTATGTTAATTTCTCCATGATATTTCTATTGACTCATTTAAGCATTTTGGACTAAGAAAATCTCCACATCAATGAACAAACACTCAAGTTGTTGTCATCATTGGAATCAACCCAAAATATGAAAATTACATGAAAAATATTTGCAAAAGAACCACTCATATCTTTTGTATTTACCATGTAGACCAAAATATTTGGGGGTTTATATATATATATATATATATATATATATATAGCAAAATATGAAAATCATATCATATCATCACGCGTCGGTATATTTTTATTTTAAAAATATTTGCAAAAGAACCACTCATTTTATATGTATTTACCATGTAAACCAAAAAAATTGGGGGTTAATATATATATATATATATAATTATATAATTATGCTTTAGATATAAAAATTAATAAGAATTGAGTGGTGTGTATGTAAATCCCCGTTTTAGATATTACTTCTAATATGCGCTGCGCAATAGCTGAACATTTTGGATTAAAATTTTCAGTGTTGAATGGCTTAGATAACATCCCATTTCCTAAATAGAGATATTTGGAATTTTAACCAAAATGTTAGACTGTAAGTAAAAAAATTTTAACCTTCAATTAAAAATCATCCATAACTTCGATTTCAATAAACTTACAGTCAAACTGGTTGGCTCGACAAGACGACTCAATGACACTAGAGTTGATTCAATATGCTGTAAAATCAAGCCGTTAAATTAATTTTGAAAATTTTGGATGATTAATTAAAAGCTTAAATAAATTCCAATCTGATAACCATATAGTCAAATTGAGTCTGTGTACATGACAAATCCAATGATCCCAAGATCACTCAATTCGGATATCGTTAAAGCATGTCAATGTTTTCAAATAATCGTTCAATTGAGGGAGCCTTTCTGGGACATCCAATAGAGTGAAAATATTTATTTCTTATTATAGAGAGGCCTCTCTCAGACTATATAATAGAACTCTACCTGCTTCATGAAATGATACCTAGACCGTAAACCAGGGGAAGACTAGAGCTTGAAGGGAAAGAAACTGAGGTCTAGTGTTCTACACGAAAGGTCCAGAGCACGCCACCCACTCCTGTAGTAGCCAACCACCGTCGACCAACAAACCTCTTTCAGAGTCACGAAGTCGTACGTTATTGAGTAACGAAACACCGTGCGGAGTAGTGATCAACCTTGTGGAATAACGAAGCCTCCTACAGAGCAACACACCTCGAACGATGCATAACAATGCACTCGAAGACGGTGTAACACACCCAAATATGATGTAACATGCACCCCGAATACAATGCAATAATGTACCCTAAAAATGGTATAATGACGCACCACATAGACGGTGTAACAACGTACCTCAAATATGATGCATGCAGTACAACGATGCCTCCCAAAAACTGTGTAACAATGCACCTTATAATAACTGTTCTACAATCATCGTACTCATAATATGATGACTTTCTTCAAACTTTTGAAGCTCTCTAATTGCAACTACCACTACGACCTACATGCATGACTACATTCTATGCAGTCTACAACTCACACAGGTCCCAACTCCGGTCTCTTTGGGCCTACATACATTATTATAGCTCATGCAGCACTCAACTCCAATCTCTGTGACCTACAGATGTTATCATGTCTCATGTAGCTCCCAACTATAGCCTCCATGGCCTACAACATTTTGTCAGCTGATGGAGCTCCCAATTCTAACATCTGCAACCTACGAACATTATCACATAACTCATGCATCTTTCAACTCTAATCTCTGCGACCTATAGACATTATCTACGCTTATGCAGCTCCCAACTTCGGCTTTTATGAAATACGAACATTATCACAACTCAAGTAGCTCCCAACTTTAACCCTATGATCTAAGGATGATATCACACGTCATGCGACTCCTAACTCTTGTCTTTGTGGGTTACGAATATTATCATAACTCTTGTCTTTGTGGCTTTCATATCACACCTCGTGCGCTACAACCACCCTCTACAACATTCACCGCTGATTACTGCCTCCATAGCAATCAACTACGATCTACATGATTCGTTACAAATTTCATTACTGAAACCCCATTATACATCAACTTATAATGTCATCTTCCCTAAATCAGGAGCAGAATAACCCCATGTACACACCATTACATAATGTATTATTTAATTTGGCTAGACCCCATGATCGTCTCCTATTTTTAGAATTTTTCACGTAAAAATTTCTCGTGTCTCTACATATCACTTTAATTACTTGACTGTGTTATATTTTTGTGCAACAATATGACTCTAAATAATCAATCTAATCTTGCAAATCTTTCGACACATATCAATATTACTTATTAAATTATTTCTATCTTTATATAAAGCGCTATATTCATTCAAATAGTCCCACACTAAAATTGAAAATGAATTAAATATATGAAAGAAATATTCTCATGTTAATTTTTATGTCATATTAATATTCAATTAATTTTATACTATTTAATAAATTTCAAGTTGTCTCAAATAATAAAATTATGAATGATGGATTGTAAGCATTGTAAATAACTAAAAATAAGAAGTATTAATAATTTCACCTTTTTATATTAAAAAAAAAACCATTCCAAAAAATATAAATGATCAAAATTTCATAAAATTTATTTAAATTTTGAAGCATTACATGTACTTTAATAATTAAAAAATATATAATAAGAATAAATAGACGTAAATAATATATCATATGCATGATTAAATTTATATTACAAAATAAAATATAAATTGCCACCAATATGAAATTGCAATAATTTAAAATTGAAAAGTACATATAAAAGAACTAGGTCAATAAAAACGTACGAACTCTCAAAAAGATGCTTTCCGACCAATTTTTTACATAAAGGCCATCTTAAATTTTCATAACTACAAATTAATCATTCAACCTTTTTTTAAATATTATATTTTTTTTCTGTATTTTATTTTAATTTACGTTGTGATGTAAAGAAGAAGTAGCCGGCTCTTTTGGCGTCCAAATTCATATCTTAATTTAATAAGAGAGTTTCCAAGTTTTCATTAAACATAATATTTGACAAAAATAATTTAAAAATATAATAAAAATGGTTATTTACACACACACCACAAAATTATTGTATATTTATTTATTTAATGCTTAAAATTGATATTTACACGCATACTACTTAAAATTTCAATATCATATCAAAAATATCATATATACTATCTTTGTAAGAGTAAATATGGCTATCAAAATGTTCGTTACTCACAAAGTGTTCGTGTTTGCTTTGTTTGTTTTGCAAGATAGTCCAACAAGAATAACTTTTTGGAGCTCGATTTATAAACGAGTCGAACATAAGCAAATCTTTGTTCTTTAACGTTAAGCTTATTTTGGCTCGAGATAAATAAATAAATAATTTAAGAAAAGTTTATAAAAGCTAAAACAAAGGCTTAGCAAAGTAAATAAGTTTGTGCAGTTTGGGCACCGAACATTTGAATTATTTTTATTAAAAATAAAAGAAATTTGTAATATAATAATTAATTAATTATATTATATTATTTTATCTCCTGAGGTGTTTGAAGTTAAATTTGAACCGTCTAATTTTAATAAATAAATTTAAATGGAGCCGGACAAAAACAAACTATTAACAAGTCATTTTGAACGTGAGTCGGACACGACCAAACTCTAAGCACACTCATATTCGGCTTGTTTGCAGGATTGTGGCGTACAAATAACTCGGAAGCTCCCACCTTTTTACTCCTCGACAAATATAATATTAATATGAGCTGAAAGGTATGTATGTAATATCAAAATTGTAAGTATTAGATATGAAATAACCTAAGAATTATATGTCAAAATTTGTCTATTACGTACATAAATACATAAAAAAGATGTGATCTATATGTAAATTTCTCTAAACAAAATGCAATGACACGCTAAAACAAAGAGCTGTGATCGAGTAAACATCGGCCGACATGAGATTGCAAACTAAAAATTATTATTATAAGAAAAAAAAAATGATGGTGCAAAATTGAAAACAGAGGAACAAATTAATTACTTTTTTTTATTATTTTCATTTACTTTTATTTTTCATTTATCATTATCTTTTGACTAATAAATTTCGTATGGATAGATTTATCAGCTAAAACAACGGAGGGTTTTGCAGAATTTGGGTCAAAGCCGTCTCCATCCTCCCACAGATTCATGTCGTTTAGTTCATTTCCGGCCAAAAACTGTGCCATAAGAGAGCCGAATGCTTAGGGTCTCTTCATCCTCTCCATACTTTGATTCCACCTCCCTCCCTTGTTATAAAGCATTGATCGATCTCCATGGAAATCCAGAAGACCGCTAGCAGCTAAAGTTCCGATTTTTGTGGGATTAGAGAGTGAGGTAGGGCGTGAGAGAGATGAGGAAAGTGGTGATCGGATCGGTGGTGATCGGCGCGGCGACGGCGTGCGCGGTTGCGGCGCTGATCGTGAAACACAGGATGAAAAAATCGGGGTGGTGGGCAAAAGTGGAGGCGATTGTGATGGACTTCGAGGAGAAGTGTGCGACGCCGATCGGGAAGCTGCGGCAGGTTGCAGATGCGATGATGGTGGAGATGCACGCCGGACTTGCATCAGAGGGTGGGAGCAAGCTGAAGATGCTCATCTCCTACGTCGATAATCTTCCGAAGGGGTAATTCCTTGTTTAGGGTTTATAATCCGAGTTGTCGGCATGTTTTAATACGTTTTCGCGGTTTGGTTTTACTGCTGATTTCTGTAAATTTGGCTTTGTTTGAGGTTTCGGTAGGGTTTTACCCGTCTAGACTCACGTTATTGATTTCTTGACTGTAATTTATTGCGTAGTTCGTTTATCTGTTATTTATAATTTCGTTAACATGAAACTTGTCGTTATGTTCAAAAAGAGCTTTTTTTTTCACTCAAAACTTGAAAATTCGATTTTGATTTGCCTCTGTTCTGCATGGTTTTCTGTTTGCTACCTTCATGTGGATGTAATTGACCGAGGCAGTGATTACAGAAAGGAATTCATTGTCATTTATTGTTTAGATTTTCATTAATTCTTCTTTTATGGCGGATTGTTTCTTCTCAATTCTTTTATGGAAAAGAAAAAAGACTTTTTACCCTTTTTTTTTAAATGTCTTATGATCGGCAATTATATGTAAAAAAAAAAAATCATCATTTCCCCCTATCCCTTCATGGCCTTGTCATGTGTTTTTATTGCTACCGTTGCATGGACAGTTTATTTTCCTTTTATTATTATTATTATTATTATTATTATTATTATTATTATTTAAAATTGTAATTAGCCTTTATGATCTTACTCTTGTTCTGTTGGCCTTGGTAGATTAAATGTTTTTTATTCTCCTTTTTAAAGTTTTCCTGTTTCAATTATTATCAACAAAATCTTTAATGAACATCAATTTTCATCTATGTTATATTGCACTATCATTATTTTTGTACATTCTTTTAACTTTCCAATTCAATTTGCAAACATGAATGTGCATGCTGAAAATTTTCTGAAGAATTCTTGAACTGTATGCTCCAGATATATTAGTTTTTTGTTTATTATTTTATAAATCTCTACTTGTTCTGTGTTGCAGAGGATTATGCAGATTGTTATCTAGTGCTATCTATATGTTCATGTTATATTCATTTGGATAAAATTCAAAATAATTGAGAAAACAAGCATTTAGATTCTTCCAAGCATTAAAACTATTCTATCTTTTGTAATGGAGTTTTACTTATTTCATTTCCGGAGTGAACTATTGATATTTTTTCCTCAACGTTGTAAATAGTTCCATGGAAATGCAATTTAGTCTTTCCATACAAGACCAAAAAAGGTCTTATAGCTGCCATAAACTTGAGATTTATTATGCACCAACATACAACAACAACAACAACAAAGCCTTAATCCCACTACGTGGGGTCAGCTACATGAATTCTTTTTCTCCATTGCGTCCTATTTAGTGTCATATTTTCATTTAGTTATAATAAATTAAGATAATTTTTAATACAATAAGCCCAAGTCTTCCTAGGTCTACCTCAACCTTTCTTAACACAAGTTGAATCTAAAACATCTACTCTCCTAATCAGATCATCAGATGGTCGATGTATAATGTGACCAAACCATCTAAGACGACTTTCTCTAATTTTCTCCGTCGCAGGAGCTACACCAACCCTATCACGAATATATTCATTTCGCATTTTGTCTCTAAGTGTAAAGCCACTCATCCACCTAATAATTCTCATCTTGGCAACACTTAACTTATTATTATGCTTCTCTTTTAAAGGCCAACATTCAGCGCCATAGAGCATTGCAGGTCTCACAACCGTCTTATAAAATTTTCCTTTCAGTCTAAGCGGTACTTTTCTATCACACAAAAAACCCGAAGCATTTCTCCACATCAACCAACCAACTTGAATTCACTATTAACATCCCCATTAATATCACCATCACTTTGAACAACAGACCCAAGATATTTAAATCGTTCACACCTTTTAATAATTTGATCACCCAAAGTCACACCTATGTCACTAGAGCTTTTACTACTAAAATTACATTCCATGTATTCAGTTTTAGTTCTACTTAAACGAAGGCCTTTAGACTCCAATGTAGACCTCTATAATTCAAGTTTGAGATTTATTATGCACAAACATAGAGAAACTAAAATTCGAGAATTGATTTCCAAAGATTTGTAGATAGTATACACAATCGTATGTAGTTAGGCCTAAGATGTAATTAGTCATATCAAATATAAGATTGAATTATTTTAAAATGAGTTTTTTTCAGTTTAAGGGAACATGATTAGTCTTTTGTTGGTTGCAAAAAATACTTTTTGCCAACAATTAAAAAGTGGGTTCTCTTTTGATTTCAGGATCCTCTTGATTTTTATGTAAAGATGAGTCGGTGATTTTGACTCGTAGAAATTATTTTTATAACTTTTGCCTTGAAAGCAAATGTTTTTTTTTAATATGGAAATTACTTTTATAGCTTTAACATTCAACTTATGTTGATGATGATTTTCTTGTAATTCAAAGTTTGCATTAAGAGGACAGAAAGACAACTAATGAAGTATATATATCTATTTTAGTGATGAGAAAGGATTATTTTATGCATTGGACCTTGGAGGAACTAACTTCCGTGTAATACGTGTCCAATTGGGAGGAAAAGAACAAGGTGTTATTAATCAGGAGGCCGAAGAGGTCTCTATTCCACCACATCTGATGGTTGGGAGCTCCTTTGTACGTGTAGCTCTGGAGTATTTCTGTTTTTTTCTTTTTTTTTTTCATGGTATATTTCTGCTTTCTTTTCTGATTTACCAAATCCTTTTTTTTTGTTTTTTTTTTTAGGAATTATTTGATTTCATTGCGGCAGAGGTAGCAAGATTTGTTAATTCTGAAAGTGAAGAATATCAGCTTCCTGCTGGCAGGCAGAGAGAACTTGGGTTCACTTTCTCTTTCCACTTTCTTCTGGCACTCTTATCAAGTGGACGAAGGGCTTCTCCATTGAGGAAACGGTTAAAACTTTTTACCCTCTATTTTTTTGGCTCACTAAAAATTTTTATTTTATTGAAGATACAATTTGGACTGATTTTTATAAAACTTGTGATTGGGATTATAGTGAATCCTAAATAATAGTATCTCTAATTTTTGGTAACATCATTAATTTTCTTTTTGAAAAATAATTAACTTTGTTTGAAACAATTAATTTGGTAGTTGAAACTTGTGATTTTATCGATCTTCGATATGATGTGTTTTAGTTCATGAATTCTTTTATATTTTTGACATCCAGTCATGAAAAGTGAAATCCAAACATTGAAAAGAATTTACACCAACAAAAGTTATCTGTTTTCCATTACTTTATATATTGTGCTTGAAAGAGATGGTCCATATTGAACGATAAAGAAAAGGCTTAAAATATAATCAAAACTTAGCTAGTGGGCTAAGTGTTTTGTGGTTTGAATTGATGTTCTTTGCATGGGAATTATGGTTTGCATGCATTTCTTCTCTTTGGGCTAACCTTGAAATTGTTTGGTCTTCATATGTTGGTGAACTTCATGTTTAGTTCTTTATTTGGCCGTCTCATTACACATTTAGTTAACACTTCATACTAATTCTAATCCTAATGAAGCCTTCACCTTACAAATATTACATAAATGGTAAAAATAAATAAAACTACCCCATACAACGGTTCTCTCCTTATGTATCATTTTGGCTTATTTTTTATCACGACCATTGTCTTGATTCTTGCATATGATTTCCATTTGTTGAAGATTTACCATTTGATGGAGGCTTTTTAATTGCCCTTGAATGGACAATTGGTTCTTCATGAAGGACATAGGTGGTTGTTCGATATTTGTGAGAAAAAGAAGTAAAAGCTGCATGCATAATTAGTATATATTAAAAAGAAGTTATAATCAATATCAATATTCTTTATTTGAACACCCAAAGGTGATCATGCATGCCGTTACATTTCACGCAGATGCATCTATTTCAACATTTTGCTATAAGAATAGAATTTATCTAATTATCAATGGAAGAAATATATCAATCATGATTTAGGATTTCTAACAAAGAATAACTACACAAATAAAATAACTAATCATTGTTTTGAAGTTAGCTTGCGCACATTAGAACTATGAGCTAATGGTTGTTTTTAAATGAGAAATAGCTAGCTTACAAGTCGCAATCAATCAAACTCCTTTGGATTAGTTGGCCATATCATGGTTAACATTGCTTGGAATTCAGTTCTCCAAACATTGACTACAAAATGAGTGTGTGGCTTCAATGACCAATCAGATGCTAATGTGATTTCTCATATTTGCACGCATTCTTCTCAAATGACAACTCTGCTCTTTGGGACCTTGATTTTCTTATTGTCCCTTCAAAAATGGTTTCGTGGGAGGCATAGAGACATCATCTTCATTGGAGAGTAGCATCACACGAATCACGGTCGCAGATGGCTTGCTCTTATACATGTAAGGCCTTTAACATTTACCCTAGCAAATAGTGGGCATGAGGGGCAAGCAGAATACCCAAATACGCTTGAACCATTAAATGGCTTAACCAAGTAATAGGCTTTGCTGTTTTAACTTTAAGCTATTTAATTCAATTTTTTATTTATCACATTTTTGCTTCTTTACTGGATCCAATAACTGAGAACCAAACATTTTAAAATTTTAAAGCAGTATTAAAACCCGTAGTACCGAAATCAAACCTAATCATCCAAAAACTTTGGCTTGATTTGGTTAAACAGTTATTCCCAATTAGTGCACTCTCTTATAGATAATTAAATATACTCTTTTGCAACTAGTGAAGTTTTAAATTTATCCACACTTTCATTTGCTTTGTATTTAACTGTAAAGTTTCATTTATATTCAATTAAACTTTCCAAGTGGAAGTTCAGAAACACCCTACATATCATTCTATTCTAAGGCCTAAATTTCTTTCATTATAGCTTTCTTTCACTCGGGATTTGTGAGAGCTTCATGAACATTAATTTGAATTTGTATTTTATCAAGAGAAATTACAAAAGCGCAAAATATAGTTGAAAGATTTTGTAAGTTATGAAATCATAGATTGTTCATTTGGGGTATGATCTCACCTATTTCCTTGAATCAAGCTATTATAAGTCATGAAATCATAGATTGTGTTTGGAACATGATCTCACCTATTTCCTTGAGGCAATAGAATGTTAAAGATCAATTTTGTTATTCATGGATTTATTTTTAGAAGTCTGTACATTATTGTTCCTTAAACCAGTCTAGGGATCTTAATTTTAGTAGATGTATATTGATAGCTCCATTTTTTTGTTTTCATTTTCCATGTAACTCATTCTCTATAGGTTGGGTGTATTGATAAAGTGTGACTGAGTTTGTGGCAGTTGGTTGGATGTGCTTATAAAGTGAAGCGGAAGTTTATGGTTTTGGTTAGGCTGCAATAGGCTGCAATAGGCTGAATGAAAGGCAATGAGAAATGTGCACTGTCCTTTGATTTGAATAAATTCATCACTTTTAGAGGAGTTTTGAGAAGGTTTTCTGAGTTTGAAATCAATTGCTAGTGTCTAATTGCAATCAACTACATTAAGATTTTAACAAAGTTCTTCATTTTTCGATACCATTGAGCCCTTATAATGATCCCTTATTTGTAAAATTGTTGTTTTTTTGTTTTTCTAATTTCTCATAATTTGTGTTCAACGTCATATGATAATTTTGAGTTTTTTTATTTATTTTTATTTTTATTTTTATTTTTTTTTGTTTACCTTTTGTTGTTTAAGCTACTCTAATTTTCAGTTCTGGCGTATTTACTTTTTGAAATCTATGGTTGATGAGTAGGGATATTAATTTTAATATCCCATCTTTGTTTATGAGGTTTATCCTCCTCAAAATATGATTTTGGTATTTAATTTGAGACTGCCTTGTTAGCACCATGCTTTGCAATTATCATTGTTAATTTCAATTTGAATGTGACAAATGTAAGTAGATGAATAAAAATGAGGGGCATTTACATACCTAACACATAAACAATCACAGTTAGATGCATACCCCTCAAATCTTTAACATCACATGATAAAGTCCACTTATCATTATCTTTTTTAAAGTGAAATACACATTTTAATGTATAAGTTTCTGATACCAAAGTGTTATAAGCATAAATATCAAACTTTGGAGGTTAAATATATAAAAATACATAAGAACAATGATTAAACTAGACTTTGAGTAAATAGAATACCCTGTATTATCTAAATATCTATCATTTTTACTCATAATTTTTGTTGCATTGAAACTAGGTTGGCGAAGATGTAGTCTCTGAGCTGACAAAAGCCATTGAAAGACAAGGTCTTGATTTGCGTGTTGCCGCACTAGTGAGCTTCTTTGCCTCTTCTTTCTACAAAAAAATTATTTTGCGTCATATACCGATTTTAATTTTAACAGCAATCATTTTAATGTAGGTCAACGATACTGTTGGGACACTAGCTGGAGGACGCTATTATGATAAAGATGTTGTTGCTGCTGTTATTCTAGGTACAGGTACGAACGCAGCATATGTGGAGCGCGCACACGCTATTCCGAAGTGGCACGGCCTGTTACCAAAATCAGGAGAGATGGTAAGAAGATTTAACTATACTTTCTTTTTCGCAAAAGTTGAGTTTTTGAAGTGGCACAGAGGAGTAGATGCGTTGGGTGAAAAGAAACTGCGGCTATATTAGACTTAAGTGTTGATTATTTGAAGTTTTTTTTATTGGATTAGTGAAGAAATGCTGCATTATGTAGGTGATCAACATGGAATGGGGAAATTTCAGGTCATCTCATCTTCCTTTGACAGAATATGATCTCTCATTAGATACTGAAAGTTTGAATCCTGGAGAACAGGTATGATTCTGTTTCACATGTTTGAGCTGCTAGGCGAAGATTTATATACATGCCACCACTTAATTCTTATTTATTTGCATATCCAACATCTATACTTCAATTTTTACATATATGACACCGCACATATGCTTCAAAAGATGTGTTTCTCTTTTTAAAAGTTAAAATAGTGGTATTTGTGATGTGATACGAAAGATTTGAGCGGTATAGATGTAAAAAGTGAAATGTAGGTGTCAGATAAATAAATGCATAATTTTGCTATTTCCCCATGTGGCATTTCAGAGTCCTTTGGGATATTGTATTTGGAAGTATATATTTCTCATGTTGTAAACTTGTGTGGTAATTTGGAATTTGCAGATATTTGAGAAGTTAATTTCAGGAATGTATTTGGGAGAGATTCTTAGAAGAGTGCTGTTGAGGTTGGCAGAGGAGGCTTCTTTCTTTGGGGATGTTGTGCCTCCAAAACTTATGGTTCCATTTATACTGAGGTATGCCTTGGGGCAAAATTAAATACAGAGCACCCGAAACTTTTGTTATTTACAAATCAAGCACCCTCCATCCATTTTTCAATTTCTCACTCACATATCAACATTCATGATAAAACCCAAGCCCATATTTTTCATTTTTATCAAATTTTCAATGGTTTGATCGAGACACGCGTAAATGCAGACACGCGTAAATGCATCTGTTTCGATAATTCAAAAATCAACCTCGGTGCATGATATGCAAATATCAATGTTTATGGTGCTCTGTATATGATTATCCCTAACTTTTGATATTTTTAGCGAAGGAATCGATCATCTCACATAACATGCTTGTCATATTTTCATTTTTGTTCCTTTAGATGTCAATCTAGCAAATTGACAAATAACAGTATGTTTATATATTTAGCACCTATTTTATTTTGGGCATTTATATTCATACCACCATCTTCCTATGTATTTATATATTTAACACATAAACTTCCCTTTTTGACATTTATACCATCCATTGTTTTTTTGACACATTCTGATCACCTAAACTTGCAGGACACCGCACATGTCTTCAATGCATCTTGATACATCCTCAGATCTCAAAGTAGTCAGTAGTAAATTGAAAGACATATTGGGGGTATGCATATCATCTATATATATAATATACTTTGCACGCAAGAACATAGATTCAGCTCATTAATGCCATTAATCTCATCATATCTTCCATGTTCCAGATAACAAACACCTCACTAAAAATGAGGAAAATGGTGGTGAGGCTCTGCGACATCATCGCCAAGCGCGGCGCCCGGCTATCCGCCGCCGGCATCTTCGGCATTCTGAAGAAGCAGGGAAGGGATGTTCCCTCTGAGAAGCAGAGAACGGTGATTGCTTTGGATGGCGGGCTGTTCGAGCACTACACAGCATTCAGGAATAGCTTGGAGAGCACTCTCACGGAAATGCTCGGCAAAGAAGCTGATTCTTCCGTCATCATAACGCATGCCAATGATGGCTCCGGCATCGGTGCGGCTCTCATCGCCGCCGCGCACTCACAGTATCTGGAGCTGGATTCTTCCTAAAGCTTTCATCTTGGTTCCAGGCTCCCCTCCATTTTTTAGGAGAACTCTGGTGAGGAGAAAAAAAAAACGTTCTTTTAAAAAAAAAAAAAAATAGAGCAAAAGCCATGAGATGGTCCAGCATGTGTGCAATAATGCTTGCTGATAAAGCAGGGGCGGGATGCAAAAATTGGTTGGTTGATGCCATTCCAGCCTGCAAAATTTTCAGGTTATTTTACCAAAGTGTGTTTGTTATAAGAGGGAGGCTAAGTTTATTTGCCTCATCAACTAAGTTGTTGTTCTTTTTATCATCATTTTTGTTTTATTATTCAAAAACGTTAGCTGGAACTTAATATTTATGCTTTTTGTTCAATAAAAGCTGGACTGGCTGTTGTATTCTTTTCTTACTAAATTATTTAAGCTGTTCCTCCTATATATACATATATTCTTCACTATGTTTGCATACAAAGATATATTGTTAATCTTTAATTATTGATTATAATTGTGATCTTTAGTTCTATTTTAATGCGGCATTATTTCATTGTTAGGCATAAATATGTCTCAAAAATCAATGTGCAGCATTTCATATAATGTTTTTTTTTTAAAGTTAATATACTTAAATTTATGTGATATTTTGCATTTGTTAATAAAAAATAAATAAATAGCAGTTCAATTCATCATTCTAGATGTTATAAATATTATAACTGATGCGTGAGTAATTTCTTATTATTTCAGCATTGCAGCAAAATCTAACAGACATTCAGATAGAAGTAAGCAACCATTAGCAACACTAAAAATTTGTTGGTGAAAAATCCTAAAAAGGAGAAAACTCATGGGGCATAGCCTAAATGAAATTATCAATTATGTAATTTTGAATACATGGGTCTAGTCTTCTGTTGAATTGGGGATGAAGTTAAAAAAAATAATTTTTTTAAATGTATAATAGTGGTTTGCCGATAATAGACATAGTCTAGTCGTAATTAATGTAGTTATCGATGAAAGTAGGCTATAAGGGTTGTAATCGATTGTTACGGATACAATAGTCTGTCATAAACGTTGTAGGTCGTGGTCGCAAACTTGTCTTATAGGCAGTAGTTGAATCCATGATAGTAATTGGTCATATGAGTTGCGGATGGTCATTTCAAGAGCGTAGGTTGACCATTAAGGTCGTAGTATAAAGTTGCAAGAGTTGTGAGCCATGTAGGTCGTAGTT